TAATAAGTATTTATTAACACAAACATCCGATACGCTACTGAAGCAGGTAAGTCAAATTAACGTATCTAAATTCTTTGACATCTAATCTTTGACAGGTAATAAATAAAAGCTAAAATGCAAGAAAAATATATAATTTAGTTAATTTAAGTGAATTTCATAAATGATCGGTTTACTACACGTATGTATATTATATAGTCACTTACTAGCGAAAAGTTGTTCCATTATTTCACTCAATTTTTGCCGAGATCTACCGCACGCTACTCAACCAACTATTGAGTCTTTTTCGATAAATCGCGATAGTGTCACTGTTAATTTAAGTTCTGCCACAATTTCCATCTAGATTTACTACCTTTATACAACTATCAGTAGTAGAATAAATAATAAATAACATAAAATAAGCTCCGTAAAGACTGACAAATCCACAAAATTTCTAATCAAATTCAAATGTGTCAAATGAATCGTCAAACAGAACTGTCAAGGATCCCCACCCTAGAGTGCTTTTTCCGCCCACCATGCATGAATACATGGATAGCATTATGCTCCTTCCTTAGTCTTCTTATTCAAAGGCACTGGTGCTAAAAGTAAGTCACGTGATTTACTTGTAACACTGAAGCGATAACAATTACCCAAGCAACCATAAACTTCATAATTAATTTGGTTTCAGAATGACATATTATGAATTATTCATTAACGTTAAAAGTAATAATACTTTGATAGGTACGAGCATAAACTTGTTTGTAGAAAAAATAGTGTATGATATAATTGCTAAGTGCACTTTTAGCAATTATATCATAAATAACTATTTTACTTTATTTATGAAAATAAGTCTAAAGTATATTATATTTTTAGAAAGCTCATGACAAGGTAAATTTAATAAAAAAAATAATATGCAGGGTGCCCCATTAAAAAAAAACATAAGTTTAGGTTATATTTCGAGAATGACAGCTCCCAACGAAAAACTAGTTACGCCACTGGATTCTAGTTGTATTCTTCTTAGTGATGTGAAAACCGCATGTTTGTATCTCAACCAATAAGCGAGATACTCTGTAAAAGACACGAAAATGGGACACCCTGTACAGGGGGCCGGTTAAGAGATGCCCAAATCGTATTTTTAATCATCTCAATTTTTTCAAATGGAACGAGGGTGGCTCATTAGCATATTTGGAAAAAAGCTTTTTTTACAATTTACTTCAAGTCTTCATGTTATTCAAATTGTAAAATAAACATTCCGATCTCCCGGTCTAGAAAAGCAACAAAGCAATTAAAGGAAACATAATATAATATGTCTTTTAAAACTGTTTTGATGAATACGCCTTACATCCGTATGATTCACAAGGAAAAAACATCTGGAAGTAGCGTATGATGAAAAAAAACGGCGTCATAGTCGGCTTGGAAATGACGATGCATGACATTCACACCATATAAACTTCCCATTGAATAAAAAAACTAAAGAATGAGTCTAATAATCTACGTCATGTCATAAGACGCCATTTTTACAGTTTTTTTTTGACATTTAACTTGATATATTTTCATAGATAAAGGAAACAAGTTTAGATTGGAATGCTCGGCTTGCCGCCAAAACTTATAATTGTTTTGGAGCGCATACGTTGTAGGGCGCTGCTATAGCGGTTGCTAAGAACAACCGCAAACAAGAACAGAATTAATTTTCTCTTGTCAAAGCCAGATCTTCAAAAATTATAAAATCTATCAAAATTGAAACCGCCCTCATTGGAAAAAATAATTAAAGCGTCCATTTTCAAAGTAATTATTGCTATGAGTTTAATTTAAATTTTATTTACTAAATTCGTGATAATTGTGAAAAAGTGGCATTAAAAACTTAAAAAGCTGTGTGAACTGTGAACTGCAAAAACCATCGTGGATCGTGGTCTAACGTCGCTTTCCAATGTTTCATAGGTATTTCATACATTTCCTTATATAAAATAAATTTTGTTATATGCAATACACTGTATTTTATTTAAAAAGTTAAAAGAAAATAATAATAAATTTAAATAAATAATATTTGGCAACTTAATTCCGGAAAAAGCCGAACCGCTCCGAAATTATCAAAAGCTTTGGGTCGCGACCGTTGTATGAATAGCGCCAAATAGTATTTACATTGTCCTTATGGCCACTTTTCAATCTAAACTTGTTTCTTTTATCTATGTACAGAGTGGACAATTTTGGTTGTTTCTATAGGGTATCTAGGAAACCGTGAGAAATATTCAAATTTTGATACTGCAGTCTCGGGTTCTTTTTTTGAAAAAATTACAATGGCGCAAACGGATCGGGGCTATCTTGATCGGTTTCGAAGCTAGAGGGGGATTCTCAAATTTTGTACTTTTTGAACATGTTCGATAGTTTGTTTATTTAAGCCACCACGGAAAAATAAATTATACATTCTAAAGGCACTTTTCTGTGTAGAATGCAGTGGCGTAGTCAGACTTTTTTCGAAAAAAATATTTTTTGAGATTTAGAATTTTTTTAGAATTTAGAATGAGTGGGAGGGGGGTTAATCACTTCGACCTTACAGATCCATTGTGTCCCCCTTTCTTGAATCATAACTCATCATACAGTCCCAGGGCTTTGACAAAAGCCAGTATCTGGGACGGTTTTATAGAGGGTAGTTCTCCATCTCCAATATCAGTCGTACCAAAATTCATGGCACGAATGGTTGTCGTCTCGGCGCACTCAGTGATGAGGTGTACTGGTGTTTCACCATCTTCCCCACAGAATCTGCATTCGCCGTTTCTTCTTAGTTTCAATCTACTGAGGTGTTCATTGAGGAGACAGTGTCCTGTTAAAACCCCGTGACAATCCGAAGATTGTTCTTACTCAGACCCAGGAAGATCTGTGATTTTTCTTGATCATAAGCCCTCAGAAACTTCTTCGAGTGTCTTAGACCATTGCAAGATTTCTATTCCAGGTTGCGGATGGAATCTTCCAAGTTCTTGAGTTCCGCCTTGAGTTGGTTACCACTTGGAAAGCAGAACGGTTCTGGTCCAGTTAGTGGAGTGTTCGCTCCTTTCCTAGCTAGATTATTTGCTTTTCATTGCCTTCTATCCCTTGGTGAGCAGGCACCCAGTGTAGGAGGACTTTGTTTTCTTTGCCTAATTTATTCAGCTTCTCAATGCATTCTTTGAGCAATTTCGAATTGATTGATACTGAGTTGATCGCCTTTAACGCTGCTTGACTATCAGATAAGATGGCTATTTCTTGTTTCCGATAGTTCCTATCTAAGATAAGTTGTACGCATCTCTCGATAGCGTAGATTTCTGCCTGTAGAATACTAGGGTAAGTGCCCATTGGTTCGGAGTAATTAGCTCTCGGCCCAAACACTCTTTTTGAGATATTAACTATACTTATGTTTTTTTAAATAGAACCTCTTGTATATTTTTAAATTTTCTTATTCAGCTTGGCATGGGCTTCTCGAAAATATATAACACTCTATATTTATTTTCACTATTACCTCAACATTTCAAATTTTTCTTAAAATATCCACTTAGCGGATAGTAGGCCGCGCCGAGTAACAAAGTAAACGGTTATCATGGTGATCGGAACATACCTTTGATGGATTGAATGGATACCTTTGAATTTTAAATAATAAAAAAATGAGTAAATTTGAAAATTTTGAGAAATATAATATGTTAGAATGTTATATTGAGTCTAACAAACATAAGCAAATGGCAGCTGATTTATATTTTGAGCGGTATCCAGAGAGCCGAGCAACCAAACCCGGCCATTTTTAAAAGGTTAGAAGATAGTTAATCAATTTTGGATCTTTTCAAAAACCGGGCCTCAAAAATTACCAGAAAGAAGATGAATAAAATCAATATATTAATGTCCTCGGAGCCGTAACACTAGATCCAACAAGTAAATGCGTGCGGTTGCAACTCTGTCTAGATAATGATGGGCAACAGTATGAACATTTAATGTAGTCTTTGTGATTTTATTTTTTTTATATTAACTGAGAAGCCCGATTGCAGTAACCTCTTGAGTTTATATTAAAATATGTTTTTTTGTTTCTGTCACACTTATTTTTTATTTGCTTGGTATTGTTCCATTTTATTTAATTGTTAATTCACGTATTCGGCTCCGAGGACATTAATATATTGATTTTCTTCATCTTCTTTCTGATAATTTTTCAGGCCCGGTTTTGGAAAAGATCCGAAATTGATTAACTATCTTCTAACCTTTTAAAAATGGCTGGGTTTGGTTGCTCGGCTCTCTAGATACCGCTCAAAATATAAATCAGCTGCCATTTGCTTATGTTTGTTAGACTCAATATAACATTCTAACATATTATATTTCTCAAAATTTTCAAATTTACTCATTTTTTTATTATTTAAAATACACACACTTCAATCTATTGAAATAAAATAAATGCATCCATCAAAGGTATGCTCCGATCACCATGATAACCGTTTACTTTGTTACTCGGCGGGGCCTACTATCCACTAAGTGGATATTTTAAGAAAAATTTGAAATGTTGAGGTTATTACTGAAAATAAATATAGAGTGTTATATATTTTCGAAAAGCCCATGCCAAGCTAAATAAGAAAATTTAAAAATATATAGGGGGTTCTATTTAAAAAAACATAAGTATAGTTAATACTCAAAAAATATTTTTTTCGAAAAAAGTCTGACTACGCCACTGCATTCTACACAGAAAAGTGCCTTTAGAATGTATAATTCATTTTTCCGTGGTTGCTCAAATAAACAAACTATCGAACATGTTCAAAAAGTACAAAATTTGAGAATCCCCCTGTAGCTTCGAAACCGATCAAGATAGCCACGATCCGTTTGCGCCATTGTCATTTTTTCAAAAAAAGAACCCGAGACTGCAGTATCAAAATTTGAATATTGAAACAACCAAAATGGTCCACCCTGTACATTTTTGATTTACCTACTGAAGTTTCGCGGATTTGTTAGGATTTTCGGAGTTTGTTCTATGCTAAAGTGAGTTATAGTGAAATAAAATAAAATAAAATCTTTCTACTCACTTTGTGATGTAAATCGTGGACATCCTCCTCCAGTGACGCATCTGAATACATATCATCTGTGGTATCGCAAGTGCTGCTTCTGCCAGACGAGTTAAAGCTCGAACTTCTGTATAACTGACTGAAAAATCATATAAAATTGCTCTTAATAACAGTGGTAGGGCTAAAATATAGATATTTACCTGGCTAAAGCACTTGGGCCTAAGTTTTGAGTTCTTCTGCCATTGCTAAAAATATTAAAAAAATATATTTGTATAATTTTAAAATCAAGGATTAAGTAACAACAAACTTACTGTCTGAAAGAGCCCCATCTTCTGTTTGACAAAGAGTCTGGATTACTGGAAAAATAAAATCGAATCAATATTTGATAAAACCGAATGATCGAAAAAAAACGGCGTCCAAGACGGCTAAGAAAAATTATTTTATACTAGCGTGTACCAGCGACTTCGTTCGCGTCGAATTAATCATTTGTAATGGTGATGATAAAGCAAAGCAAGAATTTCCATTAACATACAAACTGGATAAAATTTTCCCACATTTGTGTCAGCATGAGAAAAAACAATATGGCGATATTATTATATAACTTGGTAATATTTGAGGGGTAGTTTCATCTCGTTGGAATTTGACTTTCGAAAAATCCGTTTGCCAAAAATAAGCTTTTTACGTCAAGCGGTTTAAGCAGAATCGTGGTTAAGAAATTACCCAACTTTTTGGAACACCCTGTATAATTTTTTAAAAAATTTCAAAATATGTAAAAAAACCAAATCAATTATGCTTGTCCAAGCATTTTCCCGAAAGACTAACCGTTTTTTAAATAAAAAATATTGTAATATTTGAGGGGCGTTTTCACCCTCTTGGAATTTGAGATTCGAGAAACCCTTCCTTATCAAACCTCTACAACCCACAGTCAATTGAGTCAATCCGTTTGCCAAAAATCAGCTTTAAACGTCAAGCAGTTTAAGCAGAATCGTGATTACTCGATGGTCATATTTTATGAAACACCCTGTATAAATTTATAAAAAATCTTAAAATATGTAAAACAACAAAATAAAATATACGTGTTTAAGAGTTTTTCCGAAAAACTCACCGGTTTTTAAATAACAAATATTTTAATATTTGAGGGATAGTTTCACCCCTTAAGAATTCGAGTTTCGAAAAATCCCTTCTTATCTAACCTCTACACCCTAAAGTCAATCTGTTTTCCAAAAATCAGCTTTTTACGTCAAGCGCTTTAAGCAGAATCGTGATTAATCAATGACCAGATTTTTCGAAACACCCTGTATACATTTTTAAAAAATCTTGAAATATGTAAAAAAACAAAATAAAATATACGTGTTTAAGCGTTTTTTCGGAAACTTGACCGTTTTTTAAATAAAAAATATTGTAATATATGAGGGGTAGTTTCACCCTCTTGGAACTGGAATTTCGAAAAATCCCTTCTTATCGAACCTCTACACCCTAGAATCAAGCTGTATGCCAAAATTGAGCTTCTTACGTTGAGTGGTTTGAGCAGGATCGTGATTAATCAGTATGTGAGTCACTTAAGGATTTTATACAGGGTATCTCAGATTTTAATCGGGAAAATTTAATAGACGATAGAACTTGCAAAAATAAAACAAAAAGTTCATATCAACTTATAAGATATAAAGCTTCCTTTTCGAGATACAGGGTACCACTAGAATACCAATTATAATATTAATTACCAATTAGAATTTAATTTTTTGTGCAAGAAGTAAGCAAGAGACAAAAAAGTCAGGAGACAAAAAAATAATATTTTCAATTACTAAATCCAAAAATAATATTATACTTCTAAAAAAGCAGTGGCGTGTCTATTTTTTCCTTTAAAATAATTTAACAGTGATGCCCCACCGCCGCCCCTGGCCATTAACCTTAAATCTAATTACATCAAATTAAGTCCCATAGTAAGTATTATAAACGGGTCAAGTTATAACAAAATCGATAAAATAGTTTTTCAAATATCTTATTTTTTTTTATTTTTTTTAAGTAACTTTAACACCCTGTATCTCGAAAAGAAAGCTTTAAATCTTACAAGTTGATATGAACTTTTTGTTTTATTTTTGCAAGTTCTATCGCCTATTAAATTTTCCCGATTAAAATCTGATACACCCTGTATATTAGTATAGATTTTAAATAGTTTGGCGTAGAATTTTGAACATCCTGTATGATTTACGATTACCATATTTATAGCACAGTAAGTACAGACCATCTAAAGTAAATATCTAATAGTCGTGTTTTGATTTCAGAATAGTTCTTGTATTTTTAATATTTTTTTTTAAGAAAGAGTGAAAAAAATATATTTTTTATTTATTTATTATATTAAACTATTGAAATATTTTTACTCATATCTTAGGATTATGTAAAGTGATCTGAAAGGAAGCCAAAAATGCAATAAAATACAGGGTGCTCACACTCAATTCACTCAAACTTTTTTGAGCCACCCTGTAGAAGTTAAAATATTTTCCTGGTTTGCACTTAAACAAAATTCCCAATTTTATATAATAAAAATACTTACTTTGAAGTGCTTTTCCTTAGGCTAGTCCTCAACCAGCTGTTCCTATTTATACCGGACGGACTCCTAGACGCTTCGTTGGGACTGTAAATGAAAAAACTATGTCCATAAATGAATTTCCTGTCCTGTATCAATCGGGATAATTTATGAAACACACACTGCGTTCTTTGTCACAATTTAATTTGCGCTTTAACGCTAACTACTTAACTAGAATCACAGTAACGAAATGACGTAAGCCTTCAAGGAGATTCTCACAACGAAAAAAATACAAAAAAACTAAGTACCACCTATTCTAGGTTAGCTATAAAAGCGCATGCATCGGGATTGTTACCTTGGAACCAGGGTTCGGAAAACTACATGTTACTTTTAAAAACTACATAAACTACATTACATGTAGTTAATGTAGTTTATGTAGAGGGTGTAGTTTATGTAACTTATGTATGTAACTTTCAAATGTCAAAGGTTTGAGGTGAGGTTATAATAAGTTGAAGCTTTAAAAACACATAATGTATTTAACGGTGTAATTTGTAAAAATCAGAGTAGGCTGGCACGCGCGATGTTATTGTTAAGCCTCGTCTACACGTACTACACGACAAGCAACGTATTGGAAGAGAGAAACGTTTACACGGCAGGTAAAAGATCATATACTCTGTTTTTTTTCTAAGCTAAGATTTCGACAGACGATGACAGAAGAAAAGCAGATGACGTCCCATACCAATCTATTTATTTTACTAAAAAAAGTTTCTAATATTTTTTAAATTAACTATAGATGGGTTTAAATATAAATCCGTCATGCGTCGTCTCTTGTTGTTTTTAACCAGTTTTATTGCTTTATTTCAAAAATGACAGATCATATTTCAATTTTATTGGTTTGACGGAACGATGAACGACAAACGGAGGCCGATGCGTATGAACTCGCCTTTAGATTTTTGAGGCTTGTCAAAGTCTTGCCAAATTATAGGTTATAATTTTGTGCCAACTTGTGTCAAAGATCTGCGTTTTGGAAGATGATGCTGCATTTTGATTCGTGTAGTTTGTGTTTTTTGAAGTCAAGGGGAGGAAAAATCGTAAAATAAAAAATAAAAAATTAACTGTAGACTCAGAGCACAGTTTATAGTTAATACTCGCTGCCCAGGCAGAAAGTCTTATATACCAATAAAGTTACCATCAATAAAGTTTGTATACCATCTCGTCGTAGATAAGTGCATCTTGTATATGGAACAAGGATCGTACTAAACATAATACATCACACGAGATAGGTAAATAATGATTTTTTGAACCAACCTTTAAGGTATACAATTTGGTAAGTGTTATTATAAATAAAATAGTTTGTTTTATTTATGTTGTTTTATTTATTCCTGTGGAATATTACAAATTTGTATTTGTACATAAGTTATATTGATAAATATAATCATAAATGCGGGAAGTTTCTTGAAGCTTGAAAGTAAGAAATAGTTCTTTTTTATATTTTTTTGGTATGTGGTGTTTTGTTCTTGTTTGTTTTTATATTAACACATACCATTTTTTTTAAATAAAATAACTCGATTACATTTTTTCAGTTTTATACAGTTTTTTTTCACAATATTTTGAAGTAATCACTTATCAGTCAAATTGTAAATATATTAATTTTCTCAAAATTTTCTGCTATGCGTTCCAGTTGTACCAACTTATTTCTTTGTAAAATAAAATAAACTACTTTGAAATTCAATTTCCTGTGACACAGGAAGTGACTAAAAACAATTTTGAATACATCAATCAATCCTAATTAATGTCATATACTAACATACCAAATGTCGTTTTTTTTATCTGAAAATATAAAAAAGTTATAAGGATGAGCCATTTATGATGCGCACTCAGTATGTAATAAATTAACACAATAATTTTGAATAAATATGTAATTTCTTATGTCACATAATCCTGAAAAAAAAATGCAATAGGGCAAGAGAAGCTTGCTTGGTCTTGCGGAAGTCTGGCACTGGTCGGTCTTGCTCTTTGTACAAGACTAAGATCAGTTGACTTGACTTATGAAAACGCGCCTTCAGAAAGTAAAGTTTTATCTTACCCGGTACTACTCTGGCACTGCCCCTCCCTTTCCAGTACCACCTCCACTGTGCTGTTGGAGTCCTCTCCTCCGGTGTTCCACTCAAAATTCTCCCCGTCTGACAGGCTGGAACACTGACTTTTCTGCTCGCCCGAACTGCCGGTACTACTGTTGCTCGGCGTTGACGTCACTACAAACCGCGGCTGGGCACCGTCGGACGCGGTACTGACAGTTGACGATGAAGCGGTACCATTCAGAATGACCGTAGGTGAGGAATCGGCGGTGGGTGACATCATACTATGAGTCGTACGGGCTGAGAGCTGTGAAATGATAGACAAAAGCGTGAAAAGAATGACTTATTATGTAAATCAACGTGGGATATGAAGTTAAAGTACACGGATATTGAAAAAAAAATTTATTAAATTAATAAATTATAAAAGGCTGAAACAAAATTCCAATTATTTAATTCTGCATTTTTTGTATTAACCCTGTGGCACTGTCGGTTCAGAACGTTCTACGTCGTTTTCCTCCACTCTTCTCTATTTAGCCAGAGATCATCAGGTAAATATCTATTTTCTAGTTCTTTATCCACACCCTCCCTCCAGCTTCGTCGCGGCCTTCCTCTTTTATTTCTGCCTCGAGGTGTCCACAGTAAAATTTGTTTTGGTATTCTGTGATCGGGCATTCGTTGCACATGACCAAACCATATGCTACCTAAGAATCAACCTGTATGCCAAATCAACCTGTACACCCTAGAATCAACCTGTATGCCAAAATTGAGCTTTTACGTTAAGTGGTTTGAGCAGGATCGTGATTAATCAGTATGTCAGTCACTTAAGGATTTTATATATTAGTCGGCTCTTTTGATGTGGTGGGACCAAATTTTCTTTCTCTCTCTTTTGACGTGTTTGACAGATAGACTACGTATTTAACTGCTCAACTTATGAAGTGGTCCTATAAACATGGTATACACTGCTCACAATTTGAAGTGGAATTAATTATAAAGTTTTATACATATCTTTTTTGTTTTGTTTTATCCTTATTTCTAAATTTGAATGTATAAAATATCTTACTGCTAATAAATAATTAAAAAAACGATTCGTTGCCTGAGGTATACTTGAAATAAAGTATATAGAGATATTTGATAAATGGCAACAGTGGCAACTTCGCTTCTTCGTATGACAGATAACCTACTTATTTCGCGCAGCCGCAAAGAAAATTGAAAACGGGACTGTCGCTACTCGTCGGTTTAGGTACTCTGGTGGGACCTCTATTCTCTGTTGATCAAATATTTTAAGTCATCTATCGCTCTGAGTTAAAACAGGTGTGCTCGGCTTAGAGTAACAAATAGAAACTAGTCCATATTTACGGAGCGACTACTCAAAGGTTAAACCTTAACATTATCTTAAAACAATATAATTATCTAGTATCACCTAGAAACAATACCCAAAAGCAAATATTTAGAAATGTTAATACACTTACTTTTTGGAAAATATTACTCGCAATTTTGTTTTATTTAAAGTTAAAATAATGCCGATGGAAAATGTTAGTTTTTACACCATGAAAGACACTGTTGTAACTTCTAAAATGACGAAGGTTTTTGCCTTGTCTCATTTCATTGAATCATTGTAACAGATGTAGTATGTGGGCGTAAAAAATGGTAAAAGTATCTAATTTTCGTAAACTGTTAAATAAATAGGCGTAAACAATATCCGATTACGCTTGAATAAAAGATTAAATAACAAAATTTTACAAAAAAATACTAATAGTTAATAGTAAACTTTTAACGTAAAGCTCCGTCTACACATACCGTTTTGTCTGTCAGGTAAGACGGATTTAAAACTAACGTACCTATACATTGGCACTATTGGCAGTTTTACTTGCGCTTTTATCAATTATTATAGAATTGTGTTTAGTGAAATTGGAAAGAAAAAACATAGAATTTTACTACAAAATGGTCTTTATATGGTTTAAATTTCATTTGTCAACACGTGTATGTACATATTTTTTTACTCAGTAGTTTTATACAGGTACGGACAAAAAGTTATTACGCTTCAAAACAGTTAAAACGCATGTAGGTGGCGCCCTCTACTAGTAGGCATCATATTGATATCAAAATCAAATTTTTCATTTGAAAAAACTTCTAGACACCAATTTTTATCCAAATATTGACGTTACTTTAGAAATTATTAGCAAAAAATCGAAATAAAAATAAAATTTCTACACCCTTTCTACGCATTTTAGGACATACGTTTATACGAATACTAGCGTGTACCAGCGACTTCGTTCGCGTCGAATTAATCATTTGTAATGGTGATGATAAAGCAAAGCAAGAATTTCCATTAACATACAAACTGGATAAAATTTTCTCACATTTATGTCAGCATGAGCAAAAACAATATGGCGATATTATTATATTAACTTGGTAATATTTGAGAGGTAGTTTCATCTCATTGGAATTTGACTTTCAAAAAATCCGGTTGTCAAAAATAAGCTTTTTACGTCAAGCAGTTTAAGCAGAATCGTGCGGTTAAGAAATTACCCAACTTTTTGGAACACCCTGTATGATTTTTTAAAAAATTTAAAAATATGTAAAAAAACCAAATAAATAATGCTTGTCCAAGCGTTTTCCCGAAAGACTAACCGTTTTTTAAATAATAAATATTGTAATATTTGAGGGGCGTTTTCACCCTCTTGGAATTTGAGATTCGAGAAACCCCTCTTTATCGAACCTCTACACCCCACAGTCAATTGGTTTGCCAAAAATCAGCTTTAAACGTCAAGCAGTTCAAGCAGAATCGTGATTACTCAATGGTCATATTTTATGAAACACCCTGTATAAATTTATAAAAAATCTTAAAATATGTAAAACAACAAAATAAAATATACGTGTTTAAGAGTTTTTCCGGAATACTCACCGGTTTTTAAATAAAAAATATTTTAATATTTGAGGGATAGTTTCACTCCCTTAGAATTCGAGTTTCGAAAAATCCCTACTTACCGAACCTCTACACCCTAAAGTCAATCTGTTTTCCAAAAATCAGCTTTTTACGTCAAGCGCTTTAAGCAGGATCGTGATTAATCAATGACCAGATTTTTCGAAACACCCTGTATACATTTTTAAAAAATCTTAAAATACGTAAAAAAACAAAATAAAATATACGTGTTTAAGCGTTTTTTCGGAAACTTGACCGTTTTTTAAATAAAAAATATTGTAATATTTGAGGGGTGGTTTCACCCTCTTGGAACTGGAATTTCGAAAAATCCCTTCTTATCGAACCTCTACACCCTAGAATCAACCTGTATGCCAAAATTGAGCTTTTACGTTAAGTGGTTTGAGCAGGATCGTGATTAATCAGTATGTCAGTCACACTTAAGGATTTTATATATTAGTATAGACACAGTACCTAAACCGACGATCTACGTACTCTGGTATAGATACGATACTTATTTTTATCTGCAGAATATGCTGCCGAAGTTTCCGGAATACAGTTCGGACCACCCTGTATATCGTTAGTCTAACTATGATTAAACTTGATTAATATGATTAAGACCTAATCAATGTCACTAAATAGTTTTATTATTTCAAACGTGTCTCAGTCAATTTTGTATATTAACGATATTACACGAAATGGTTTAGCAGAAAATTAATGACGATGACAACAAAATATTTAATTATAAGTAGTATCAATTTATAGGACTCAAAAATATTATGCATACAAGCACATACACACAAACCTATTTAATTACTATAAACAAAGGCAGAAATATGACAAATCTTCATAACAATGGCATGAAATATCTCAACCTGTATTTGCCACATCGATGTAGAGAATTAAATAAAAATATTTTCACAGAGGTATAACAATATAACAAGTAATTGTAGGTAATTTATAATTAAATAATAGTCAAAAGACAATGCAATAGTTAGTATTAACATACTATGTAACGTGATTTACATGTTTTCTATACACAAGCAGTACCTACTTGAATATTTATAATATGGAAATTATTATAGAAAAAAAAAATAATAAAAACTATTTTTTTCTTTATCTGTTACGCGTAAAAAATTATTTGTTAAACGTAAAAAACTATTTTTTACGTGTAAAAAAATCTTTGTTACATGTAAAAAATTATTTGTTACATGTAAAAAAATATTATTTATACAGGGTGTCCCAGAAATAAGTGCAAATATTTTAACTGGTAGTATAGTTCAACCCCAGAAACACGCCTATGAGTTTTTTTTGCGAAAAAAAAAAATTAAACATTCGAAATTTTTGAAAAAATTTTTGGAAATTTTTTTAGTTTTTAGTTAAAAAACATAATTTCTTGATAATATGGCAACATAAGTATTAGATTAAATTTGCAAGAAAGAAAATCCAGAAAAGATCGAGTGGTTCTCGTAATTTTAGCAAAAAAATTTTTTTTTTGGAAATTTTCAAAGTAAAATAACTCCGTTATTTTGGACTTATTTGAAAAACGATAAAGAAAAGATATGTTTCTTTTATCGAGATCTACCACCACTTAAAATATTTGCACTTATTTCTATACAGGGTGGTCCGAACTGTATTCCGGAAACTTCAGCTGCATATTCTACAGATAAAAATAAGTAAAAAAGTTCGTGTAAATGTATGTCCTAAAGTACTTAGTTTCGGAGATACAGGGTGTAGAAATTTCATTTTTATTTCGATTTTTTCTAAATAATTTCTGAAGTAACGTCAATATTTGGATGAAAATTGGTGTCTGGGAGTTTTGTTACACGAGAAATTTGATTTTGATGTCAAAATGACTCCTATTTGTAGGGGACGCCACCTACATGCGTTTTGACTGTTTTGAAGATTAATAACATTTCGTCGGTACCTGTATAAAACTACTGACTAAAAAAATATACATTTCCATGACTTTTTACGTAAAAAATGTCTCTTAGTAAAAATCCCTACGAGCAACCGTTCTCAAGATATTTAAAATTGAAATAGTCAATACATGTCATTATTGACAAAAGATAAGCACACGTTGAATAGAGTTATATTTGACTAGAATAATAAATTTTTATTTTTTTAAATTAATAATAATAAATAAAAATAAATTTTTCTGCGAAAAAAAGACGATTAAACAGTTTCTGTTGAACTTTTGGCACAAAAAGATTTCAAATTTAAGATTTTAGTCTAATAACTATTTCGTCAACATGTTTAATTTTGTCAATGGTGACAGGTATTGATAATTTCAATTTCAAATATCTCGAGAACCATTACTCGTAGCGATTTTTACCAAGAGACCTTTCTTATGTAAAAAAAGTTGTAAATGTATATTTTTTTACTCA